AACATACGTAAAAATCACGAAAATTCGCAAATTATTTTAAGCTAGAAATTCATAAAAAAATTTTTTTTAAATCTAAGATTTTATATATCCTAGACAGATAAACCGTCTTCGTTCAGAATCGTTTTTCGTATACAATGATACCTATCATAGTGTCATTGCATTCAAATTTAACCTAACCTAGTCAGAGGTCCACCCCACCCCTAATGAACAGCAGAGCGATACCCACTTACCCGCTTTTTTTAATGTGCAAGTGAAGTTAAAATTCAACTATTTATCGAACATTTTTCAGTTTGAAATTCATAAATGGTTTACTTTTCAAAGCTAAAATTATAACTGTATAATACTCTTCCAAAATTTACTTACCTTGATCAAAAAAAAAAAGTTTACAGAGAAGCAACATTAAATTGTTTTAAATTGTATACAATGTACAATTATATTTTTAGGAGTTGCCGTTGCTACTAATAGTGTATGGAAAGAAATAAGTTGGACTATAGGTGACCGAATGTCTAACAATGCTATTCATTTATTTTGTGCAAGAGGGGAGATATGGAATTAAGGAAAAACTTGGCATATATACAGTAAAAAAGTCAATTCCTAAGGTCCATGCTGAAAGTAATAATAATATATTAGATGATAATGGTATGTAAGAATTTAAGCATAAAACTGTATTTTTATCAGAATAAAAGAATATGTTTTTTTTTTTAATGTCTAGAAAGCCTCATTAGTGATGGGACAAAAGAATTTGTTTTCACATTTTCCGCAGATGAGTGGAATCAAATACTTACATCCTCTTGAAGTTTTTTATAAGTTGAATGATAAATCAAGGCCCATGCAAAATTCCAAGTAATTCTTGATTAATTAATTTTGGATGTCTGAAGTTATGATAAATGTTTTTATTTTTTTATAACACATTACATTATAGTTTTCAAAAATGTAATTGGTCGCCGATTCTAGCTGAGCATTTCTGGGAGCACACTAAATTACTGTGTTGTTTATCATTCCGTAGAAATAAAGTGACTCCAAATGGAAATAATTATGCAGTAGTCATCGGTCGACGCTCAATTTGTGGATCAAACTTTAAAGGAATTATACATGACAGACCATCTGATAACTCTAGGTAAATTTGTCTGTTATATTCATTATTTTTCAATAGTAGGAAATACATTTTAGATTAATGGAAAAGAAAAAAAAAATGGTTAAATACCTAACAATTTTTACAAGAAATCAGTGTATGACCAAAATGATTACAATTCAAAAATATTCATAGAGACTTTATTATTTTATTTTATTATACATAATCATATGTTTAAAACATTTAGATTAATAATATGGTATCATACGAATATTAGTTCCATAGGTTAAGTCACTCTAATTTCTAAACTAACGTAGTTAACAGTAATCTGCTGAGCATAAATTTGTTATGTTACGTACTTATAAGACGGAGTCAATAAATTGACCTGAAAAGTAAAAATGTCTTAATATTTTTCTAAATAATCGGAATAAACAAACTAAAAATTAAGGGGAAAATGGTTAATTTTACGCACAATCAGTTTCTGATCAATATTGTTACATATTAGGTCGAACGGTATAGAATTTATCAGTTATAGGTCCTAGTCTTTAGAAATGTAGAAATATAATGAACRATGCCACATTTACTGAATATAACACCTCCTCCAACCACCAATAATTTAAAGAGCTGTACCCTGCGACCAATATCAACGAAAAATAAAAATGTAACGCTTAAATTCATGAAAAAAATGCTTTATTAATTCATGATATTTTAATTATATGTTACCATTTGAAAATCAAAAGTTGATAGTGGTTCTACCAATAAATATAAGGGTGATAAAAATGTTGTTAATAATTCTGTTCGGTTCGGGTTGGCAGTACTTTGACAATATTTGGTTCGACACCGAAAAATAAGGTTCAACCTGAGTCKAATTTTAACAAGTAAAAATCAATAAACAATAATATATCTACCAATACGGTCTGTTTAGCATTTTGTTGTTTTTGTACTGTACTAATCTAAAACTGACTGTTTTTAAGTCACCCTACTGCCCATACTAATATCTCACTAGTTAATAACACAATTCATTTTACGTAAAATATTTATACTTTAAATGAACAATATTATAGTAGATTTGATTTAATGCTTTGTCACAAAATTATAAAGGTTAGGTTTGTCTCAATAAATTGTACGTCGAATATGGATAGTCAAACTATCACTTCGACTGAATGTCATATATATCTAATAGGTATTGCTTAGGTATCTCCTGTGTGAGTCCGCTGGTAAGTCGCCAGATGGCAATTTTGATTAAACGACTTGTCAAATATGTTACACAACAACGATTAATCCTCTGTGTGCGTCCTCGAGTGTACTATCAAATTGCTACTTACGCTGAACGACTTGTCACATATGTCGCAAGGGTACGGTTTCTCCCCTGTGTGCGTCCGTCGGTGTATAGTCAAGTTGCCTTTTGTATTGAATGACTTGTCACATATGTCGCACGGGTATGGTTTCTCTCCAGTGTGTGTCCGTCGGTGTTTAGTCAAGGAGCTTTTTTCATTGAATGACTTGTCACATATGTCGCACGGGTACGGTTTCTCCCCTGTGTGCGTCCGTCGGTGTATAGTCATGTGGCTTTTTTGATGGAATGACTTGTCACATATGTCGCACGGGTACGGTTTCTCCCCTGTGTGCGTCCGTCGGTGTTTAGTCAAGGAGCTTTTTACATTGAATGACTTGTCACATATGTCGCACGGGTACGGTTTCTCTCCAGTGTGTGTCCTCAAGTGTACTATCAAACTGCTACTTACGCTGAACAACTTGGCACATATATCGCACGGGTACGATTTCTCTCCTGTGTGCGTCCGTCGGTGTTTAGACAAGGAGCTTTTTTCATTGAACAACTTGTCACATATGTCGCACGGGTATGGTTTCTCCMCTGTGTGCGTCCGTCGGTGTATAGTCATCTGATTTTTTTGATTGAATGACTTGTCACATATGTCGCACGGGTATGGTTTCTCCCCTGTGTGCGTCCGTCGGTGTATAGTCATGTGACTTTTTTCATTGAATGACTTGTCACATATGTCGCACGGGTACGGTTTCTCCCCTGTGTGCGTCCGTCGGTGTATAGTCATGTGACTTTTTTGATTGAATGACTTGTCACATATGTCGCACGGGTATGGTTTCTCCCCTGTGTGCGTCCGTCGGTGTATAGTCATGTGGCTTTTTTGATTGAATGACTTTTCACAAATATCGCACGGGTACGATTTCTCTCCTGTGTGCGTCCGTCGGTGTTTAGTCAAGGAGCTTTTTTCATTGAATGACTTGTCACATATGTCGCACGGGCACGGTTTCTCCCCTGTGTGCTTCAGAGGGTGTATTGATAGTTTGCTTTCACTGTTGAACGAATTTTTACACACGTTGTATGGATATTCTGTTTTGTCCACGCGTATTTTCTGGCTACTGTTAAGATCGTTCATTTAAATGTTTTTTTTTTCGATTTTTGGCAATGTCACCTTTATCGCTTATTCACTAATTAAATATAAATAAACTGCAGTATTCTTGATTTGTAGAACTAAGTTATTATAGTTATGAGTTTTTTGTAAATTTACATGGTTACTAAGCCTTATTTGTCTTGCAACATTCAAATTTTTTTTATCATTGTTAGTTTTTTGAGCCGATATATTTATTTGAATACTATTAAGCTTCTACAAAAATTGAAATCTAATAAGAATTATAACAATTAAATCGCTCAAAATTAAATATTATGTTTTGTGAACAAGACAGTTCCAAATACCTGTCGGAAATTGTACAATTACATAGGTACAACAAAACATTAGTTTTATACTATAATATTTTTTTTTTATAAACTATTTATATCATCTGATTCAATTTTGTTTGATACCACTGATAATTTTAATTAGAGGTCGGATTTATATTCTCTTAAAATCCTTAAAATATGATTTTTTTWTGTCGCATAAATTAGGCAATATATTCTCTTAATATTCTTTTAAAATACCAGATATATGATGTTTTATGTCCTTAAATATGCAAAATATTCTTTTAATATTAAAAAAATTCAGTTTAAATTTATTTTAGCTAATGAAATAACCTACGTGCTATCTCAATCGATAAGGAATACCTGGAGATTAATTTTTATTAAAATCCAGAAATTAATTATTTATAAATAGAATAATTTAGTGAACATTATACCTATCAAAGTGCTGATATACGTGAAATATATTCATTATATGCTGATATTACAAAAATATTCTCAAACATTCTCTAACGTGTTAAATATTCTCTAACCTATAAAATATGCTTTTTTATGCAAAATAAAATTTTTCATTTTTCGTGTTTCATGAATCGTAAAGATTTCTCACTCCCACTTAACTGCATAGACTAGACTACACACAAACATTTATAATGTCAAAAAAGTTTTTATTTTTGGCGCTCGTAAACCAAACGATTGAATAAAATGTTAAATTATTTAAATTAAATTAAGTATAACATACTAAATAACATTACTATTTGGATGTGGAAGGTGAACAAAAAATATGTAATTGCTCGTTGTCTAAGCTGCTTAGTGTAGATTTGTTTGACGAAATGAGCACAAGCTTGAAGCTTATAAGACAAACTACCTATTTCCGTTATCGTCTTGCATAAATAACTTCTGTAACAAATCAATACATTTTTAGCTTCTATAGCTATAACTAGTGGGTCAGCAGTCTTCTTTTTCTTCCATCTTATTATTTTAAGGGACATTTTGTGTACTTATATCATCACAAATGTTCTCGTTCTTCTCAAAGAAAGGGTAATTTTCATTAATATTTCCAAGCTCCTTATGGTTTTGAATAAGTGAAAATTGTTCATTCAATTCAGCCAACTCTGGCTATGGATCAGCTAAATATTAGGAAATCCACAACGAGCTAAACAATTCATAGTAATTGTGTAGCTAGCTTCCACAAATTCTTAGATACAAATTGCGATGTATTTATAAGCTACTTATTTGGATAGTAGTTGCAGATGTAAACAGTTTTTTCAAAACCTTTTCAAGAATAAAATTAACCAATTTCATTTTATGCCTCACCTTGAAGTTTTTGATAATACTTATATCTAAATGTTGGCTTAAGGATGTCATATTTGGTTGCAAATATTCTAATGTAATGTTTTTTTATTTACACACAATTATCAATAAGAAGAAGTATGGACCTAGATTTTTCCTATAGTTCCTTTTTTTCATTCATACAGCCAGCTTGAACATGTAATTTAAGTCATTCGTGCATTTTTATTCGCGTTGTGATGAACTGGCATTTTATTTAGGGCCAGTTTTATGAAGCATTGAGGGTTTAAGCTTTTTCTCACTACTAGTAGCAGCAGGTTATCTTTTTACTCCCGGTTACATTGACTCATAATAAAACTGTTTTATTTATAATTGTCTATATTGATTTTTCATTGACTTCCTTTTTGAAATATAAAGAACATAAACTTCTGTTTAACCAAACATCAGTAGCAATAAGTAGATTGATACCTATTTTTTTATGTGATTCTTTAGTTTTTTATTTCAACGTTATCCTAGAAACTCAAATACCACGATTTGTTATTAACGAAAACCATTCACTTAAGACCTCGTAAACTTCGAATCTTCCCCTTCCTGCTTACATTTTTATTGCTAGTTTGAGTTGAATTGAGTAGGTAAGTAATATGAATTCTTCTTTGAGAAATTTCACCACCGTTTGATTTCGGAAAGTATAATTTTTCAGCGATTTTACGTTATGAAGTGTCTGAAAGAAACAATTCCACTTTGTTCAAAACCAATATTTTTTCTTTGTAGCTTTTGGGAGATATATCTTTTCGAGACATATTGTTACCTTTAAATTCATGTTAAAACTGAAAGCGGTTATTACCRCGGTAGAAAGTATGCTTCTGATAACAATCCTATACATTTTGTCAACAAAATCTCATTAAGGTTTAAATGGTAATTCTTTTGGGTTTGCGTTTGGGCGAATTGCCTTTTTACCCGTATAATAAAAGTAATGTGTTTAGGCGAGACAATATATTTTTTTTCCTGAATTTTTTGATCGGGATTATCATTTTTCATATTTTGTTTATCATTTATCTTTAGATTGGACATAATTAGTGAGCGAAGGTTCTTTTGATTACTGACGATAAAAATAATCATAATGGTAAAACCCGATTAAATTGTCATACAAAAGTAAAAGGCGTGGATGTCAATATTAACCGGTGACAACATTAGGTGGAATCCATTGCAATATAGGTAATGAATAGGGTTGGGAATTCGATGCACTTTTCATTGTTTTTTAAATATAACTTAGCAATGCTCGTATTGTTAAAAAATTGTTTGATGAGAATAAGAAACTTTATTTTGCTTTAAAAAAAATGTTTTTGGTTTTTAGTCATTTTCTTAATATTGTTAAAAATGTTTGGGCCATTTTTGAGATTTTTTATTTTAATATTCTTACATRCAATACCATTATTTACATACCAACATGATACACAACACTAATGACATAGACCGCCGGCGTTCAGCAAAATTAGTGTTAAAAATATATCATTGGAATCATCTTTCCAGTAAAATAAAAAAGTTTTAACTCAATAAAACTGTTCAATATCACAACCACAAACATGACTCATGGTCCATGTGATGATCTGAATTGTTTTTACCTTGTATGGCAGATGGAAAATGTACAAAGCGTTTTCCTAAAGATAACTAACGACCAACTATATGACTATATCACAAACGTCGACCTAATACCTTATACCTAATATATCGTTAAGGATATATTGATAATGGTGGTCAGTTATTCACTATTAATATCAACAGCACAGATATCGACATTGGCAATCGTTGGTCGGTACCATAATAGCAAAACATCTAATGCTCACATTAAAGTTCTGTAGTTCGGGAAGTCCATCAAATACATTTGCAATTATGTGAATAAAGGCAGGGACATGGCTGTTTCAAGTTTAAAATACCGATATTAATACTCTTAAATTGATTGACAACGACGAAATAATGTGCTACTAAGTTGGCCGGTACCTCGGCTCCAATGAAGCAGTCTACCGTATTTTTGGTTTCCCAATTTATGAACGGGGCTCGACATTCCGAAACTTAAATAACTGATGCATATTGCTTATTGTATAGCTGCCATTAACACGTGTATTTTGTTATTAGTTATTGCAGTCATAAGTATAATCAACAGTTATATTTCATACTACATATAAATTATTTTATAAAAACATATTAAAATAATAGCTAATATAACATCCTCGAATATAACATTTAATTATAAAACTTTAAATTGATTCCTATAGCTTTATGATAAATATTTTTAGTGTTTTATTCGTTATTTTTTTGGTTTTAGTTTTTAACTCACAGTCATTTTTATCTTTGAGTTAGTAATTTAGTTATAAACAAATTGAATTGATAAATAAAAAATAAAAATGAAACGAAATAAATTACTTCTTTCTTTTAATTAAATGTTTAATTTGATCGTGCATATCGTTCCCTAACAGTAACAACACGTACCTGCAAATTTTTGATTTTTTTTTTTTATGATATCAAAATACTTAGAATCTATTTGCGCAAATGTTTCATTGTCCATATTATTATCCGTAAACATAGTGATAATCTCAAAAAATAGATAATATTGACACCACCAAAGACTGTCTATGATATACTGGACTGGTATCGATTATCTTATCAGAGGCCCTCAGATGAGCTGCCACATGAGGTACAACAAGGGGTAAAGTGCCATCTAAACATGAGTTATAAGAACATGCCCGTAACCTAATGTTCACAACACGGACAAATACGAAAACATAGTAATATAATATTTTACAATTTATTTATTTATATATATGAACACAATGTTATATGAATATTTTAACATACAAAATAGTATGACRTTATAACGGCGATGTCGATTCTACGCGTACCGTACGACTGACAGGTTACAGACTACATATCTTAGTCCGAAGTTCTATCTACTGCGGCTGTAATGCTATCTTAGTAACTAATACCATTAAGATAACATTATATAACAAAATTTTCCATCGTGTGTGGAAATTATCGATAATCAAACTAAAAAAATAATAAACCACGATAATCTCTAGCTAATTAGGTAATTATTGTTATTTACTAGAAAATAACGTTATTTTGATGTTTAACATCATTTACTGTAACATATATATACCTATACTAGCTGATCCGATCTAGGCCTGCGTAATTACTATTTGACATGGCCGATTATCAATCATAAGTTGTAATCTTTACCGGTTAATCGGATATCCGATTAATTCAATAATTAATTTAGTATCAATCGATTAATCCCATTATCTGCATTATCGATTAATTCAATAATCGATTTATAAATAATACATTAATATCACAATTCAGCAATAGCGCTATAAATAACCGATTAATTCAAATATGGATAATATGATAATAAATTATACT